TGCGAAGGTTTCAGGTCGATATCTCCAACGGTGTCCGAATGCATAGAGACAGACAGAGATCCTTGCTTATAGAGATATATAGATATTTTACATACTCAAAATAATAGAAGGTAGTCGTACTTGTCTGGTGGCAAAATCTATCAGGATCTTCCTGGCAGCAATGATATTCACCATCCAGGATAAACACTCTCAATAAAAGTTAGGCCAGGGTCACAATACGAGTCAATTTTAATCAACACTACCCTATATTTATTACTCCTGGTATATATAAAAAATGGGGAGTGATAGATCCCACGAGAGCATTCTCCGCCATATACGTCATTTCGAGATTGATTCAGATTGGTTTCGAAGTTGTTGAGATTTTACTTTTGGAATGGGATGTGGAACTTTGGGTCAAATCGATCGAGTAACAGCTTTGGAATTTCAATATGAATCCTTTTCCTCCCCCTTTTTAATTGACTATGGTCGAAACAAGGAATCGGGATTCCGTGACCTGAAATCCAATTGCCCCGGTTTTCCTATGGAAGATATTACGGTATGTGCTTTCTCATTCATCCGCGTTGGAGCCAACTGTCGACACGGGGTTCGAGGAGTGCAGGTTTTCATGGGTTTCAGCACTCTAGGCATTATAGCATGCTTTACAGCAGGACTTTACGGCCTTCTGGCTTAAACGTCTCACGCGGCCGTCATTCCCGCCGAAGCCGATCATAAGGTGAGACGGCGAGGGGAACACCCGGTGGATTGCAAGGGGAGACTTTATGGCGTTTCACTCCCGAGTTCATAAAGGAATGATTAGCACCTCGTCGTAAATGTTTCGCGACGAAACAAGACGTGACGTGACAAGACAAGACGAAACAAGACGGTTGGAATTCCACGAATTCCAACCGGCTTCAAGGTCAGACGATCCAATGAGGCAGATGCGAACGCTGCATGCAGCGGAATGGATGTCATCCTCATGGATGTCATCCACATTGGAAGCACGTGCGCGGAAGCGAAAGGTAGGGACGGCGGAATCATTTTTCAGCCTGCGAGGGTTCTTATCGTGGTTGAGACCGCAGATTGAAATTTCATTGCATCTATTAGAGCGTAACGGGGTGCTAATCGAGGGGGGAGGGGGATGCTAATGAGGCCTTGACGTGTCTCGAATATCCCGGGGACTTTTTTCGCGTGATCTCCTCTCATCATCTGCATTCTATCATTCCATTCCCCCCCCTTCTTCGTCTTGTATGGAATATCGACTAGCTTACGTGATTCCCCGTCCCCCTCGATCTGGAATTCCGATCCTTACAGACGCGACGTGTGTTTGGATGACATTTCCTGAGCAAGGACGCTAATGGCCCCTTGAAACCGCCAGCAGATGTCTCTGCGTTCGCGTCGACCGGCTTCGTGACGTCGCAAGAGCGCACGCACGGAGCGAGACTTCCGTGACGCGAACGCAGAAAATTGTCCGGAGCCTCACTTCCCTCCCGGTTTCTCCCGTCCAGAAGTTTAGTTTTGAATTCCTCTGGATGGAGGTTCTTTCGCTGCAGGAAACCTAAGGGAGCATAAAAGAGATCCCCCTTTTTTTTGTAGGAGGCATGATTGCCTGGATTTCCTCATTCAGGCAGTGAAGGATCCGCATTTAATCTCGGAGAATATTTCATATTCATGAGCACACCTGACATCGTCGACGTAGACCCGGGTTCATTTATTCATTTCATTTTTTCTCTACTTGAAGAGAAGGGATTATCTGTACTCCCTGGAACGTATGCAGACCCGTCGCCCGCGTTTTCCCTGCGGACCAGGTCGCACTTCAGGCTCCTGTTTTTGCCCGATTTTCAGTCAGGTTTGCTTAACCGAGGTCAGGGTCTTTTAGCTAGGGTCAGGGTCGCTGAACCGGGTTCCCGTCGTCGCGTGCAGCATTTGGAAAGAAGCGATATGCATGGCAAAACGCAGTGTAAATACTGGCCCATCGTAAGATATGCCTGACCGATCGACCGGTTCGTGCCATTCGGGTTCGCATGTTGATATGGATGGAAGTTCTCTCCATCTGCTCGTCTTTTCGAGGCTCTCGTGAAGCTCTCATAAGGCCATATTTGCCGTTCGACTTCGGTCTCTTGGCTCGTGCAACCCCTCAAATGCGAAGACACTCCTCGTGCGAGGCCCATCCACCAATCTCACCCTCCCTCACCCCCCCCCCTCTCCCCTACCCCCACCAAATGTCATTGATAGCCATCGCGATTGCCAGAAGCCATTATCAGTGGACTGTCATCCTCACCTGACCGTCCTGGCAAGGGCCCTCCGACAAGGCTTCTTCTGGCAGCTCCCGTCTATCATATCCAGGCTCTGCCCGAATCTGTCGCAATGAGAATATTTTTGTTTCCCATCGTTCTTTCCCGGTTAGGTGCGAGCGCACCGGTCGCACGAAATTCTCTGCTTCTTCGACGTTCAAAGTCGTTCGAAGAGAACAAGTCTGTCTCCTTTTAAACTAATCAACATGTATTCTGTGTTTTTTCTATAAAATATTCTGCCCTCTTTTTCTATCTCTGATAACGCATCTTTATGAACTCTCTTTCTTATCTACCCGTATTTATTCATTTATCAGAGCAATATCTTTGTTTGGTCTTCCCCTCAGTCCCGCCGCAAATCCTGGACGAAGGCAGCAGCAGCAGCAAAGTATCAGTGAGGGAGAACGGGAACGTGGCTCTCACGTGCCGCGCGGATGGACTGCCCAAGCCCTCCACTATGTGGAGGCGAGAGGACGGTGATCCAATTCGAGTCTCGCCATCTCGCGATGGTAAGTTTTATTTATTTATTTTATTTTTTCCTTAGTAAAAAGTTATTTTTCATATTTTAATATTCATGAAAACAGCGAATAAGAAATACTTTATTTCTGGCCTGCGGACATCTTACACTTCGACGTCCTGGTTTGCCTGTAACGTTTGAGAGCCAGGACGAGGTCATGTCTAGACGCCATCATGGGTTGTTCCGTTTTCTAAAGTTCTTGAATGCCAGCAAAAAGTCTTATATTGCGTTCTAATCCATCGGAGAATCGAGAACGTTGAGTCAACGTTGGCGTTCCCGTTTCGCCTTTGGGATGCAAAAAAGAAAAAAAAGGAGGCCCTCTTATGTAGTCTCGAAAGTGACCGGTGTGCATGCGTGTGTTTCTCATGCGTAGAGGCGGAGGTGAAAGGGGAGACGCTGAACCTGACTCGGGTGGGCCGGGGTGCGATGGGAGCGTACTTGTGCATCGCGTCCAATTCCGTCCCGCCGTCCGTCTCCAAGCGCATCTCCCTCGAAGTCGAATGTGAGTCTCTCGGTCCTGACCTGGCCGTGGTGGGAACATCGGCTGAGTCGATCGGTGGTCGATGGAAGTTTCGAGATAAAATGGGATCGTCGTTAGTCGAATAAGCAATAAGCCAATCTTCCCTCTGATGCAACGGTTCACAAATTGTGGGTCGCGAGAGACTTCAAAGTGGATCGTAAGAAGTCTCCCATGGGAAAATATAGGGTGTTTCAAAAAAGACGCTACATCCTTTTTCTATGGGGAAATGAAAATTTTATTCCTGGGTGTTTTCTCTTAAAAGTGAAAAAACCATAAAAAATCTAAATCTGTCCTCTTCTGAGATTCTAATTTCATCAGAATGGCTCATCCTTTAAAATGGCAAAATCAGAATTTAAAAAATTGATCAGGATGAGTCTTTGGAAAGCTAAACCAAACTTAAATGGAACCTTCCTAATTTTTAACGGAATGAAATTTTTTGAATTTAAAATCAAAATCAATTCTTTTTTTTTCCAAGATCTCTTCTGCTGTAACCAGAAAGTAGAGTAACCTCAAGTCATGTGTTCTTGAATTCTGTGCTCCTAGAATTGTAGGCTGAGCAGGTTTGGTGCAGTGCTCTAATAGTTCCGATTTGGTAATGGCTTTGCAATGTTCAATGCGAGTTCAGTCCAACATCCGAAGGGAAGAGTAATGTTAGGAAAATTTTGAAATTTAGTACCCCTGCATCAGAATCTCGTGTAAAATTTGGATCATTCTAACGGGGTGGTACCAATCCTTATTCTTTGGAGTGAATCTGACACCAAAAGGCAAATCCCACGTGTTATCAATGACTCACAGCCTACACTGAACTGATTCTCAGAATAAGCCTTCTCTGCTTCATTCTCAAGATGTTCTACCTTTAATAATGTAGGCAGGAGCCAGAATAAACCTGGTCTTATTTTACCCCTTATGAATGTTTTCTATCCCCCATAGAAAATGAGTGGAGCGTCTTAACGAAAAAAAAAAACCCTATATATAATGGAATACGCACATGGAAAGAGTTCCCTCCGAGTCGACCGTCTTTGCCCCCCCCCCTGTACCCCCGCCCCGCCACGCCCCGAAGGCCCACAGAGTTGAGTCCCTCCACTTCGAATACACCAGACGAATTTCCGCAAAAGTTTCCGTTCGGCATCCCATTTCGCTCTTTCGCTCGGGGTTCCCCTCCAAATTTCAAGTCTGGGCGCGCCACTGCTAGATTGGAATCTAGGAAACACGGTAGGAAATGTGAGTTCGTGTAAACAAATTTTGCAAAGTCATCGTTTCGAATGGCGGTAGGTCGCGCAGTTTTGCGAAAATTGGCATATGGGTCGCGATTCATGAAAGTTTGGGAACCACTTCTGCTTTAATGAAACCTATCTAGGCCAGGCGATTTCTCATGCATTGTCAGTACCAGTGAGAAGAAAAAAGAACTGAAACGAAAGATCGATCCGGCGGGATAGGACAATATGGGAACTACCGATAAGGTTTCCATTTTATTTCATTTAAGAATATGACGACGGCGTTGGCGTCCGGTATCTGACCAGGTAACGTTCCTTTCGTTTCCTTTAAAATTTCCTTTCCTTCAGATTCAGAGGGGAGTATGACCTTATTAAAATGTGATTAATCGATCAAGCTGCGGATGATTAATCCGATTTAAATATATTATCGATTAGAATGCTAATAAAAAGGATGATGACCTCCTTGAAATTTCCTTGTATTTTCTTTCGAGCAACTTGAAAATTTTATGGGACTTTCACTTGAAAACAATAACTTATTTGTTGTTTCCGTAACCTTCCGTAACTCGATGCAAATGTTCTCATCAAACAAATTGAGCGAAAATCCCATTTCCATATCCATTTTACGGCCCTCGCACCCCGTAGAATGCGAAAAATGTTTGTCTGACGCAGTTCCGCCGACGATCCACGTGCCAAATCAGCTGGTGGGATCACCCAGAGGCGGCCAAGTGACCCTGGAGTGTTATACGGAGGCCTACCCCGACTCTATCAATTATTGGGTGAAGGATAACTTCACGCTGAGTCGGAACGATAAGTACGTGACGAACGTGACGCATGTCCAAGGGAACAAGTACAAGAAGTACATGTACCTCGTGATTCGGGATGTGGAGCCTTCGGACTTCATCTCGTATCAGTGCGTGGCCAAGAATTCCCTCGGAGGCACCGAGGGCAACATCCGACTCAATGGTACGAACCCTTCAATTTTTTACGTTAAATCTAAATAGTAAAAAATAAATTACGAATTGTTTCTTTTTTATAATTAGAAATCGAAATGCCATCGACGAAAAAGCCCCAAATTCGAATTACCGACTTCGGTAAGTGGGAACTCACGACAGCTGGTATGATAAATCTCCCTTCGGATTTCCCTGACGAGAGCGAATCCCTCTAGAGAGAAGACGACAGAAGGAAAAGGAGAAGGAGGGCGAGAAGCAGGAGGCAGAGAAGCCGTGGAAGAGCCATGTGTCAGACGAAACCCACGTGGAAGCGGGTTACGTCGATCTCGGGAGGGAGGAGTTCACTGCATACCCTCCCTCGATCCACGATGCTCGGCAGGAAGATCCAGGCAAGTCTTCTCCACAGTTCACCGCTTCTTCTCGATCTTCTCCACAGTTCCAATTGTTATCCCATAAATACTGGGGCCTTGGAAACGGAATGAGGCAAGTCGCGCGGGTGGCGTCTTACGTCAGTTTGACTCTTGGGAGCTTGTTTCGCGTCGTCTGCTCCTTTATATGATTTGTGATTTTGGCTTCACCTCTTGGTAGACAACCGGTAACTGCTTGGGGAAGCAGAAACAGCATGAGTGAAGCGCATAATGGTCTTCTGTAGAGCTCTTTGATCCTTAAAGTAGAATGTGACGATCATACGAGTCGATTCCGTCCATGAATCCCGCCTAGAATTTTCTTGCTCTAAAGTTGCTCTTTCGTAGCTAGTAATCGTTACCGGGTCGAGAATCCAGAATCTTTTCCCCATATGGACACGTTACATGTTTACATGTTTTCTTACAAGTTTTTACTGGTCGTAGCAATCTTTTTTCACGCACTTCTACCAACTGAGGAGGCCAGTTGATTACTGAAATGACATCACGACCATGAATGCCAAAATTGTCCTTGACCCTTTCCCTATCGGAGATATACGGCTCATTTCAACTAAATTTCAGCAAAGCACATAGCCAAATTCTTTTTTTTTCTGCAAGAAAAGCAACTTAACTATTGCCGTGCAGGAGTACTTGCAGGTATTTAAACCGAATAAACAAAAAATAGAATCCTGCATTTTGGTCTGTCAGAAAAATGGCTGAGACCTGCTCGACGTGATAGCCCACGGAAAAGGTATTGAACAGAACGTATCCGGTAAAGCAATGGCGTCGTCTGTTGCACCTCTCCTAGCAGACGACGCGACGCCAGCCGAGAACGCGCCGCGCGATTCAAGGGTTGTTGTACGTTCTCGACTGAATTTCGGCCATTGCGTGTCTCCAGGATCGGAGAGCGGTGGCGGGGGCGTTCCGCACGTCTGCCTGGCGGCTGTGTCTCTGAGGCTGCTGCTTGGGTTCCTCGCCTGAAGGATTTTGTGATGATGGTGCTGCTCAAAAACAAACATTCTCTTCTATGTGCTGCGAGAGAATTCACCCCTCCCATGTATTGTAGGCGCGTGAGGTTGTTTGCAAATCAAATCATCTGCTTCCACAGACTCCCCGTGTTTCCTCGCGGAACTCGGCGACTCCCCTCGCTCAGTATTAACTGCATTCCTATCAGTGCAAACATCGTCGGACCTCTTCCGTTTTTCCTCTCTTTTCTCTTAGCTTCTCTCGAGCGGGACGTGCGGGGATTCGGGTCTCTTTGTGTGTATCGGAGTAAAGTGCGACTCGATCCAGACTTCATTATCTTCCTTCGCAGGCAGGGTGGTCGTAGAGCTGTGGTGTTTTACTTGGATATGTTGAATGATAATAAACTAAATTTATCTAAAAAGAAAAACTTTCTGTTTTTATTCTTTCTCGCCCCCTTGCCACCTTCATCAACGGCCATTGGCGGAAGGGAAGAAAAGGTCTCTCGTTAACGGTGTTTGATTATTCTGGTCACAAAGGATCAGATATGTGTCACAAAAAAAGACTCTTCAGACACATTCGAACGAGGGAGAAAAAGGGAGACGAGACAGTCGATAATCGAATAACGTCTCCGCTCTCCCTGGATTTCTCTGATCCCCCCTCCCCCTCCCCCTCCCCCCATTTCCCCCAAATCCTACCAAACGTGATTCATCGGATTCGGAATACCTTCGTCGGAATTATGCAATCAATTTCCTTCTATGTCGCTTCTGATGCCGGACGGGAGGGAGGGGGAGAGGGGGAAAAGAGGGGAAAAAAATCTCTCTCCGCCGACGATGTCCAAGAATAATGAGTCGGCATGTTATGACTATGCGTGTGTCTTTGACAGTCCTTCCCATTTCCTGAATGGGAGATAAATAAACGTCCTTCCTATCTCATCCATTCGCCATCTATTCTTGCATTGTGCCGCGTCCCATCAGAGACGAGAATGGACTCCCACCGGTACATCTCCCACAGACAGGTGCCTCGATCGCTCGAGAGGAAGAACTAGATCAGCGATGTTAAAGATCTGCGATGGCGGAGATCGGTCCCATTCAAATTCCACGTGGGGAAAATTGCGCTTATCGTTGGGCTGCTCGAATCTCTGAGGACAGAATAAAAAACGCTTGAAATTGCTTCAGGAATTGAGCAAGATTCACAAATCAGAGGGATTGTTGCTGATATAAGTCGCAACAATGATTCCTAATTAATCGAATTCGTCCCTGTGGCGCAGTGGAAAGCGCGTTGGACTTCTAATCCAAAGGCCCTGGGTTCGAATCCCAGCAGGGATGCCGTATTTCTCTTTTCCCTTTTTTTCCTCCCCCAACACGAATCCTATCAGGGAATCCCCAACTTCAGGTGCCTCATGTCCGCCCTAGGATTAACGAATGGATGGATGGGCATGGAGATTAATTAAGGGAAGAGGGATGAGTCGGGAAATCCCTGATCAAACAAGCTATAGAGAAGACTGCTGGATTTCGTCCCACAGGTGCATGCCGGGATATATCCCACCATTACGGCCTCCCATCCTATCAATCCCTGCACTAACGAGCCTTTTCGAGGGGGAGGGAGCTCTCCCTTTTTTTTTCTAATGGTTTCGCCCCGTCTGTCGTCGGAATCTCGATTTTCGGGAGTCAATAAGCGATCCGTCATCGCGGATGGCGCCTTTTTCTCCCGTTTACCATTCATTTTCTCTGCCCGACATCTATTTTGATGGATCGGCCCTGCTCCCGCCTCGGTTGATGCATGTCGGGGGAATAGGGTTTTAAAGCTGCGTTTAATCACGGCGAAAGCTTCCTGCGACCCCGACCCGTAATAAAGACAAATTCCTCCCCTTCCTGAAAATTAGGCCAATTCGATTGATGGACCTCCGACGAAAACCGCACAAAAAAAAACAGAGATCACAATAGGGCCATCCGGTCGGACGCCTTTGCGATTTATTCCGATAAGGGAGCCTCGTTGTCGGGAGGAGGGGAGGAGGGGAGGAGGAAATTGGGACAAAAATGGAAATCATTCCGTCGTTTCCGTTTTCTCTCTGAGATTGGTCGTAATGACGGGCAATTGAAGACATCCTAGGGTAGTCTTTTAAAGGCCAATTTTCTTGGGAAAGGGAAATAACGGGGGGGAAGCCCTAAGAACCCACTCTCGGAAACGTTGCGTGTTTCCTTCTCCCCCTAATTGAGGGAATATCAAAAAGGACAGCGTGTGGAGGCAAGTAGGGAATCCGCTTCGATTCATCAACCTTTGGGACAGGCACTGGCGTCGCGATTGGTCGGAACCGACCTCGGCCCCGCCCACCGGGACCGGAACTGCCCCTCCGATTGGTCGGAACCTCGGACCTCCAGAAAGTTCCAAGCGGTTTAGTCGACTCGCAATGAGGATGATGCCTGCCTCTGGGGGGGATCGCGGAAAGAAAAACCTCCTTTCGTGCCTCGACGAGGGGAGCAATGAATAGGTCATCAGACGAAAGGAAAGTACCCCCATTGAAGGGATGCCAGATCGCCGCCTTGCATCATCCCATTCAACTCGCATCCTTTCAGCCTCGCAGCTAATAAATGCCAACTCGACGCACTCCCATAATGGAACGAACGATGAAGTGAAACTTGGCTCCCATACGGTTCAGGTGTTCTAAGGGGAGTGGAATGCAAATGAATTCCGCTTAAACGGCTTAATTGGCAGGGACATTAATTGGCAGGGAAAGCCATTACCGAGAAGGAAGATCCACTTATCGTCTCCTCTGTCTCCCCGTTATCTAAATAGACTTTTTTTTCCCTCGAAGAGAAGAGGAAATTGGGCAGTGGGATTGTTTTCTATCGGCAGTGAAGAACCCCAGAGGACCCCCCCTCCCCCCCCTTCTCCCCCCTTCTCCCCCCTTCTCCCTCTGACGAGAGCCAATCGTCGACACCCCGCCTAATTCGTTTGTCGCCGGAAAACTGGAGCGCGGAAGTCCTTTGGACGGGGCAGGCTCATCTAATTTGGAGTCGGGGCCGCTCGAAGTTCGGCGAAGGTCCGTTTGCTCGGCTTCGGTGGCAAACTCGACCTTCCAGGTCGAGAAATCGGGGATAAAGGGACGAGCGGATCCCTCTCGGGTTCGCTCGCTCCCCGCTAGATGTCTCTCGGGGAGGTCGGCGGCTCTGTCGTCTGCAAACGCCGCAAAAATCCCGTCGCAAAACTGGAGGGACGTTCAATCGGGGACGGAAGCGATTTTTCGGTTTTGGCAGAAGCGGGACCGAAGAAAAAAATAAAACTGAAATTCGGCTGGGAATTGTTTGGTGTTTTCTCCGAATGCCAGGGTTGCTCTATATGAGTCCGGCGATCGGGCATCACTGTCTCCTATTTATTTTATCCCCTCCTCCCCGACCGTTTCCTAGCTGCAAAAGGGAGGGCCCCAACTTCCTTTTTTTTTCTTTTTTTCCTTGCCTCTTTGTTTTAGGTGTTCCATCGATCTGCTCCGTGAGCTGCTGAATTTCTCCCGGGAGATTTTTTTGCCTCCGAGTCGCACACCCGGCGTTGAACAGGTGAACAAGTGAACAGGTGAACAGGTGAAAATTGCATCCGGTGTGTTTATCTTTCGTGAATCAGCCAGAACCAATTTTTCGACTCAAATGAGGCGAAATAAAATCCTCGTGGAACACTCGCGGCATCTCATATTTCAGTTCCTCTGATCTCGTCGCTCGCGAAATATCATAACACCATCTTTATTAAAATATAAAAAATATTAAAATATACAGTCGAACTCGGTTGGAATGATAATATATTGACAACATTGATGTCCCTCGTCCGCCATTCTCGACTGGAATTTCCGCCATCGGAAAAATGAGCGTCGGCGAGTCATGAGTTCAGATTTCCTGGAATTCCTTGAGAGTCACGTGGGTGAGGGAGGGATAATCCCCTACTGGAGATTATCCCTCTGAGATCGCCTAATCTTCATTTGCATATCCAGGTTGACGACATGGCCGACGGAAAACGAAGGAGGCAGGCTCTCGCGACTGAAAAAAAAATTTTTTTCGATAAAAAAAATTGGTTTCGTCGAAAGAAGCTCGAGGCGAAGCGAACGTCGCTCGCGAACGTCGCTCGCGAACATGGACGCCTGTTCATCCGTTTCCGCAATTTGGGGAAATCCAGAAAGCCTCGTCCGTGCTTCCGAGAACATGTCGCAAAACGAGAACCTTCCCAGAGGATTTAAAGGTCCAAAAGAAGCGCGAACATCACGATTCGTGCGGTGTGACC